CTGTATGAACATGGATGTTTTCTAAGAATTTTTGAATAATGCTCTTCTATGAAAGGACAATCCCCTTAAGATGCTGTAAATTATTAGAATGCTTCCATGACTGTGAAGTAACCCTGAGCCTAATACTGTTTAAAGTATCACATAGTTTTAATTGGCTTCTTTTAGTGAGAGGGGCACAATTTTCCCAAAAACTGTGTTGAGAGGCTTGTGTGGCTACCTCAGACAGATCCCCATTTTTGACATGGATCCGGGCCATGCTGTCCAGCCACGTCTTCCTGAGCTCAGGGGTGCTGGCGTAGGACTTGGCCAGACTGTACTGGAGGTCCACCAGCATCTCTGGGTCGTTCTCGTGCTCCTTCATCTGGGCGGTGGCCATGAGAACTGTGCGGATCCTTTTGGTCAGGTCCTTCACGTCCGAGGAGAAGGTGGTGTGCTAAAACAAGGGTGCAAGGACACATGGCTTTCAGCTACTTCTGCCCATCCTCATACATCTCAGATGGTGAGGCAGTCTCGGGAGTGAAAAATAAAAGGGGAAGGGGCCACCCACCTTGATGAGCCTGTCACTGTTAGCACAGTTGTTGATGATAGACAAGGACTGCTGGAATCTGGTTCCCCCGATGCCCACAACATCTGCTATCAGCTGGCTGACTGAAATAATGACCTTAGGGACACACAGACAGGAACAAATCAATTCACCTTCAAACGACTCCCCCAGGTCGGCTCCTCGTTCAGTGAGGACGGTCATAAGGACAGGGCAAAGGAGAAGTTCTGAGCAGGGAACCACTCCAGTGTAGGAAACATTGTCAGAGCCATTTTTTCTCCTTCCAACAATTACTTACTCCAGAAGGTGATTTTGCTAACCTCAAGTATTTTGTTTGCACAGCAACATACTAATCAGGAGAGTGTAGAGGCATAAGAATCAGATAGGCCCTTATCACTTGGATAGTTCCTCACCCACTACTTTCTCTAACAAAAAGGGAGATATTATCACTTACCTCTTCAGGTTTGGTTTCAACTTAGAAGTACAGGGGACCATCTTTTTTTGGGGGCTGCCTTCACCCGGTTACTCCAGCTGAACCGGGTTGCCCTCCTTCCTTCTGCTGTCCTTCAGCATGCCCAGGGGGGAGCGGTCAGTAAGTACTGTTAGTGCAATCTCTTCCTTCTAACCTCCCTGTGCCCGGTTCAGAACACCATCTTCCCTGCCTAGATTTGACCATGGCTTTCTCAAGGTCTCCCCAGCCAATGTCGCAACTTGGTCCATTCTCAGCACTGGAGTCCAGGCAATCCTTCAAACATGCAATGGTGCCTCCTCAACTTGTTCTCATTCCATATCCCCAACTCCACAGGACGTTCTCCAGTTCCGGGATGAGCCCTTTCCCACGGAGCTGCTGTGGCTGCAAACATGCTCATCTCCACCCCCGCAGCCCCTGCTCCTCCTTCACATCCCCAGGGAAGTCCCCTGGCCCCCAGGAAGATGCCCCTCCTTGATGCCTTCCAGCTCCTCTACTACTGCCCTGAGCACATGGCAGGCAAGAGCTTCGGGGTTTGTCTGTGTTCCAGGAGACAGTACGCTCCTGAGGGCCAGGAGAGGGTTCTGTTTGGTTCATGGTTATATCTAGGAATCCTAGCATGTGGTTTGCAATTAAGAAACATTTGTTGGAGAAAGGAATAGGGATAGAGAAGGTACTCCATATGTGTTCACAGAAAAAAAGAGTCTATAGAAATATATATAGACTTTTCAGTATCTTGCATGGTTCCCAAAGCAAAGAATTTGTGAGATTTAACTCTGGAGAGATGGCAGGTGTGTCAGTAGCTACAAGACAGGAAAAAACCACTTTGGGCTTTCTATGTGTTACCTACTCTTTATGTGTTAGGCATCCTCCCACAGATTCTACCTGTATTTTGATTCAATGGCATTTCAGTCAGTCCAGTATTAATTCAATATTTCAATATTTAAATGTCAATTTACCGATAGAAACCTATCTTGGGCCCAATCTTATGGCACAGAG